GGGCCAGGCGACTTTAGCTACCATCGTGGCGGGAATGGTTACTCTGACGTCTAAGCATCAACACGTGTCAGGAGAGTCTATTGACTCATACGAAGACGTTTCAGATGGACTACCCACCGAATTATCACCAAACGGCGACGGTACCGAGCGACTCGCACAGGGGCGGTATAATCGTGCTACCAAGACATACATACCACAACGGTGCACCGTGTAGTGTATTATCCTGGTGTACCTCTGTTTAACACGGAGTACCTTGGCGCCCTCAATGTTAACCTGGTGGTGCACCACGCAATGTACAACCTGGTTCACCATATAGTTATGTACCGGTATAACATGGGATACACGATGCCTCGCACTTATAGTGGATAGCGATCAGATACCGGTCGGTAACCGAATTATCACCTAGCGGCGACGGTACTGATCGACTCGCACATTGTGGCAGTATAATCGACCGAGGTATACACCAAGACGGTGCACCGCCTAGTGTATCCTGGTTACCTCTGTTTAACACGGTGTACCTATTGGCGCCCACATAGTGAACCTGGTGGTGCACCACGCAACGGGTCTGATATGTTTGCCCGACACTCAAATGCCCGACACTTCATTTGCCAGACCACATCTGCCCGACAATACTTTTACTCGACATTACTTTTACCCGACAACTATATTTACCCGACAATACATTTGCCCGACAATATATTTCACATATTTTTACTATACGACTATACGTAATACTAATATACAATCTATATTGTTATTATTATTATAGTTATTAATTTCCAGTAAACCGATAGGCGATACTGCGATAGACAGATAAAATTACCGTAGGTTTTTAATGCGACATTTGATAGTTCAGTTCCTACAGTACAGTTATAGCCGTTATATAGATACACATTTAGTACGAATTTTACTTCTTTCTTTTAAAAATATTTTAATTTTGATTTAATTCAGTTTGATTTTATTTTAATTATTTTTTTTTTTATATAATCGAAAAATGGCACAAATTTGTGTAACTGTTTTATCAAATAAAGGTGGTATAAAACTTGTTATCGATGGTTATATAATGACAAAAGACAAAAATAGAGATGATTTATATTATTGGTGATGCGAAAAGAGAAAAACTCTCCATTGTGGTGGTACCATTTTAATTAATGGACAACATAACTTACGAATAAACCTAACCATAACCTACCCATTTTGAATGTGTAATTATGTTATTGAAATTTATTTATTTACATTATAATTTGAATATGTCGAGCAATGTTATTAGCGGGCCACCATATAGTTCGGGCAAACGATAGCTGTCGCGCAAATGGCTGTCGGGTAATAAGGTGCGGGCAACTGAATGTCGGGAAAAAGTACTGATCCCCCACGCAACGTATAACCTGGTTTGCCAAGTTATGTACCCGGCTTACAATGGTGTACACGACTGCCTCGTTCCCAGTGGACAGCGGTCGGATACCGCTCAGTGGAAAGCCGGTCTGATCCGTCGTCGGATGGTTGACGCGGTCAGAATGCCAGGTTCCGTCATTAAATTTTGTCCGCGATAGTGGCCAAAGTGGCCGAACTGAATAGTCTGGTTGTAATGAAATTCAGCTTCGTCTTACTTTGTACGTAGAGATCTCCACACGGCACACACTACAGTTCAATGTCCTACTAGGTCTGACTGAAAGACAGAGAAGACGACACAGCTTGGACTTTTGCGATATCTTTGAATATCTGTATGATAGTAAATACGTATTTAATATGTTTTAAATTACATTAGTGACAGTGATGAGGCTGTCAAAATATACGTAAGAATGTATGTTATGTTTATTATATTATATTTAATGTGGATTTTTTTAATTAAAAATAAACATCTACATTATTTTAAACACGAAAAAATGTAAAGTAGACATAGGTCCCTCTATGATCTATAATGGACGGCACTCTGCAGCTTTGGGTAGTTTTTATTTGATCAAAAATCCATGAACTATTTTTCTCAATATTCAGTTGTTTAAAAGTGTATAATGTATATACATTATACCTATTATAATAATCTACAATGGAAGAGGAGCTAACGTATTATTTGTACACTGCACAAGTGCTAACATAAGAGACAAATAATATTTAAAGATTTAAAAACCTATTATTACTTTTTCAAATAAAATTGAAACTTCTCAGTTATTATTATTTGTACACTACGAATATCATTAACATATTTTATAATTCAGAATTCTGTCTTATAAACGCGAATATTAGTAAATAGACGACTTATGACTTGCGTGAATCGCATTAATATTTACAGTATAGTTACAAGAATAGTTTTTGTAAACTTACATGTCTTTGTTTTTATTTTTACAAGTCGTGTTCATCTTTAGCAACTTCAGTTATTTAAAATTTTCTATATAGAAATACGTGATTCTTATTTTTTTTTTTTTTTTTTTGATCTTTGTAATGCCCGGCGACTATGGCCATTAGCTGATTGTGGGGTTTTATGATTGTTGGTAGTAGGGTTTGTAATGGTAGGATTTTTACACGTGTGTGTTGTGTTTGGCAGAATTTTTGATTGGGCACCCGTAGGTATCTGCCATGCCCGGGTGGGGGATGGCGGCACTTGTTCTCCGGACACCGTGACTTGCCCGGATAAAAATGCCGCCCGGTGGTCGAGAATTGAAACCGCGACCTTCAGAGTCGCAGCCGACGCGTTAGACCGCTCGGCCACCTCGTCCCCACGTGTTTCTTAATACTAAGATAGTTTAACAGTTAACAACCGATAAAATAGCCCGACAATAGAATAACTTCAATATATTTAGAAACCATTAAGTAGGTAAAATAACGACAACCCTATAACTAATTAAATATTGACACTTTATTATTTTGCACTTAAATCTTTATATCGTTTACTATAAGAGTTTGCAACGGAGATTTAAATGCTTGTCTACGGTTCACCAACATTATACGATTTGCCGAAATGAGCTGTCAAATTCACCATGGAAAAAATGTAATATAATTTAATTATTGACTCTTTAAAATTTCAAATGTTACTGCCTTAACATGATATAATAAAATATTTCTATATACATAGAATAGGTATCATATAAATTTAAAATCATTAAATTGTGATACATCTTAACTCTCTCTATATATACAAATGAATTGCTGTTCGTTTGTCTCGCTAAAACTCGAGAGCGACCATACGATTTGGCTCAATTCTTTTAGGATGTTCGTAATTAACAGGAGAAGATTTATACGAAAGAAAATTTTAGGAAAATCCACTGGAAAAGTAGGAAATCTGAATGAAAAATATACAACAATGGCGCAACAGGGTATTATAATTTATATTAGTTGCTAATAAATCATACACTTACGTACAAACACCAAGGGGTCCGCGATCTACCGCAGGTAGATTGCTTACAAGATACCATATACTGCTAAATTTTGAACACCGTACACTGAATATTAAATAATGAATTGAACAAAGTTTGAGTCATATAGAGTTGGCACATTTAACGGATAACGAAGTACACGGGATCAGCTAGTATACTAATAAAAAAAGTACATAGGTAATTGTAATATTTTTAAAAACTATTGTTATACGAACAAACTATTATTCATCTATTTTTATTAATTTTCAATGGGTAAAAAATACTTTTTTTAGCAAAAATGTGCTTAATCATTTAATATATATGTAATCATTACAGTGAAATAGATAGAAAGTAAAGAAGTTAAATTTAACACCTACTCAAATTATTGTATATGAATTACAATTGAAAGATAATGATATTGAAACATTTAAAAATAATTTGTCTGACTGATGAATTTGTATGACATAAATTTTGACTGTAAATATATTATTTAGAGAAGCCATAGTTAAGTACCTAATAACTAGCGATACCTACTAAAAGATACACTGATTATAGAAAAATCACAACAATAAAAATAAAATATAAACCTGGGACGTTACCTTAAAATAAGTAGGTACCTATGTAATTTTTATTAGATTTACTGAATTCGTTACCTAATTATTAATTTTTTTTTTTATATTATTATGTTGTGTTTAGTATGTACATTATGTATATTTTTATTATATTTGTGTTTTTATATAATATCATGTATTATCACTTGTTATGAAAGCATTAGCTATATTATTATATTTAATCTGTATTTTTTTTTATTTATTTAAATCTTAATTAATTCTACCTAGTAGATGCCTCATCCATTTGGAACGTACAGCAATTTTATTTGTATTTTTGTTTACTTTAATTTTATAATTTTTAACAATCCTATGTATTTCAATATTGAACTTTGTATACTGTGTCTTTTGGCAACCCGCATGGTCGGCAGTCCGCTTAATAACGTTGTTATATATATATTATTAGCCTGTTGTATTAGAATATAAGAGTACGTCCTACTACCTATATTATTGTAGTCTGCGGGTAACGCCTAATGTGTGGGCGACTCCCGGAATATTGTAGCTACACGGCAGCCGCTAGGGAAGTCGTCAGCTCTTTTAATCCTGTACGTCGTTCTGACAGTCAATAATAAATATTACAGTGAATTATATATTTCGACTCATTTACTATTAGTATATAAATCTTTAAAACTGTTTTGTTGTACAGTCTCCAAAAATTGAACCCTCACACTACCGAAAAACAACGTTCAGACGGAACAACCCGTACGAGCACAACACACTAGAAATTATTGTTTTCATTTAATAACCGAATTCCACAAGAAAAAATAGCAAAATACACTGTTTCTCGAATATAAGTAACGCCTGTGAGTCAAACAATTTAATACGATAAAAAAATAGGCGGTCTTAGCATTTTAATTTTGAAAGAAATTTAATCTCGTACACATTTTAAACATATTATAACGATGAGTCCGTGGCCCGTGGGCCTTCCACCTGTAAATTATTTCACTAAAATCCGGTTTTTAATAAATCTGGATTATCGAATCAATCCTTAGTGCACCTACCGTTCTATAGCTAATTTTAACTACGTTAAGTATTATTAATACTCAAGGAAAATGGAATTTATCTAAAGCCATACCTTTAGCATAACTTCGACCAGCTGCAGCCACATCTTAATAATATTGGTTAACTTCAGGCTTGAAACTTAGCGCGGTTCTGTTTACTAGGTTCTGTGTCGACAGCTATTTTAAGTCGTGGACAAAAATGAAATTGAAAACATTACTTTCATTTAGTAACATTTTAATATTAAAACCTGCAGTTAAAATAGTTAAAACTTATTCGAAACAATTATTAAAAAAAACACTGTCGAAATATATTACAATATAAATAAACTAATTTTATTCGATTAAACATTTACAAAGTGTTTATCGTCATCAAAAAATAAACAATATATTCACCAGCTTTCTACTATAATAATAATAATATTTATAGCCAGCACAGTAATACACAATATAATATAATATGTTTATTTAGATAATAGCCAACACAGTATAATATCAATTTTATATACGACATAGAGCGTATACATCATAATAATAATAGTTACAAAGTAAAGTTTATACTGATTAACAAAAAAATAAAAAAATATATAATACTAATACATTTTTATATGAACATTATATTAATATTTAATTACAAATATATTAATATACTTATATAATATAGGTATAATGTCCATTAAAAAAAATAATATATAATAAATAATATTCAAAAATTAACAATAATATTATTTTGTTTCATATCACGATGTGAAACAACATATTATGTTAATAGTTCTTTAAATCTTTTATAATAATATGATTACTGATTAGGTACCTAAATGCATTAACTATTTGTTTAATAATAATTTATTTTATTAGTTAATGTATCGATCATTCGAAATATTTTTATTTTATAATCTTTTAAATATTTTATCTACCTATTCTACTTAAATTAAGTAAAAATTGTAAATTCTACTTCTAATAATAATTATTATTATTTACATATTATCGTTGAATTATTATTAGAAAACGAAATATTTTATTTCGGGGATATATTAATATATATAAAATATAAAGTTACCTATTAAGCAAAAAATATTCTTGTTAATGTTTGAAAATTATAATATAAATATTAAAAAATAAGGTATAATATTAAAATATTAAATACTTGAGTAAATAAATAATTGGTTTGTTTGTATGATTTTTTTTGATTTTTTTGATTTTTTTAAGTGAACATATATGGGGGTGTGGGGGCATAGCTCTCATTTGTTATTTTTCATGTATCTAATGATTCTAATGTCAGGCGGGGGCTACAGCCCCTAACCAACATTTCATACCTAGTGGCTAGTTGCACCACTGACCTACACTAATGTAATAGTATTATATTCCCACTTTTGAGCACTTATACTTACGCATTTTAGATTCAAAGTGGAGAGATGAATGAAACGTATATAATATTTCTTTTACCTAGACTGACATACCTACCGTCTCCGCTCAGAATCGTTTTTCTTATTCAATGATACTATATCAGGGGTGGCCACAACGAGGCTCGCGAGCCACATGCGGCTCTTAAATCAGTTTCGTGCGGCTCTTGAACTAAATTTAGACTAAACTTAATTAATATAAAATATAAAACTACTCGGGGTTGTGACATTAAAGAAGCCCTGGATGGGGTTTTACAGAAAAACGCAGTGCCCATCGGTAATATTGTCAGCATTGCTACCAATGGTGCACCTTCTATGACTGGTACAAAACAAGGGCTTATTGGACTATTAAAAGCTGACACATCATATCCTGATTTCCTACCTGTACATTGTATTATTCACAGAGAACATTTAGCAGCAAAATATTTTCAATATCCGCATATTATGCAGATAGTTCTAAAAATTGTAAACTGTATTCGCTCAAGTGCCAAAACACACCGACAGTTCAAATCTTTTATAGAAGATATGAACAACTATGAGTTACCTAATGATGTATCTTGATACTGCTTAGTGAGATGGCTATCAATAAGCAATGTTCTTGGCAGTTTTTTTGAGTTACTTGATCCAATCAAACATGAAACAGTTTATGGAAGAAAAAGGAAAATCTTTTCCTGAACTTAATGAACCCCAGTGGTTGTTAGATTTGGCTTTTTTTAAAGATGTGGTTCAGTATTTATTCTTTAGTCTTCATTTCAAAAACATCGCTTTACAATGTGGCTCACCTCAAATTAGCTTTATAAATTTGCGGCTCCCAAAGTTAAGGTTAGTGGCCACCCCTGTACTATATCATTAAATTCCAATTAAATACCATCCATTATACAGTGACCCACTTGTAACCTACAGCAGAGCATCTTTTTCATATTGCGTTATTTTCAAACCGTTCATCTTAAATGTTAAATAGGTACCTTGTTATAGACCATACTCACGCCATAGTATGCAAATCATTTAATGATGTAAGGAAGCACTTTTGAGAATATCGAACCATAATGCAGTTAAATAAATTATTACCTATTCATTATTTTAAAAACAAATAAAATACCTACATTTATCTTTATATAATGTTCGGTAGTACCTAAATGTTAACAGCATAGAACTAATTTCAAACTACGCTGGGCATTAGATACCTAGTAGTTAAAAACATACCATTAGAAAATTGTTGTCAACTTTAACTGAAGTCTGAGTTATGTGACAATGAAAGATTAATCTATAATAATATGTTTAATGTTATTTTTAGAAAAATGTATGTTGAAATTGTTTGGTAACTATATCAGGATAGAGTTTTTCTTGATTACTCTATAGTCTATAGTCTATTCAAACCTAACCACCCTATAAAGTTTAATTAGGTAGGTAACCTACCTATACCTACCTATTTAATATTTATTATATAATATTAAATTATAATTTTGTTTTTTTTTTATTAAATATGTAAAAAAATAATGTGTATAATAATTTAGATAAATAATCATAAAAAATATGACCGGTGTGCTCAGTTAGGTACCCATATTATAGTTAATAAATAATATTGTACCTAATTAATTGTGTATCTACTAATTAACTAAAAAAATTTCAATTTAGTCTCAGAAGCAGGTTAACACTACTTATCACAAATAGTTTAAGGGAATCCATATTTTTTTATGTAAGTGTTGGTACAATTATTTTTTTAACCTAGACGTTTTCCAAATAAATATTTATATATTTTTTTTAATGCATATGATATAATCGGCTTATTCATTATCTTAATTAGCTTTATGTAATGGAATGTAGGTACGATAACTTACAAGTACGCGGAAGCAGCTCGACTCAGGCAAGGATCTAGAAGATTTTAACATGGGGTTGGCAAGTGGGTGTCGCTCTGCTGTACAGTAGGATACAATTGGATCAATGTAGTCTGTAATGGAAGGTGTTAAATTTAAATTAAATGATATAATATTATCATTGTATAAGAAAAATGTTACTGAGCGAACTAGCGAAGAGTCTTATTGATTATCTCATATTTGATGATTTTTTTATGAATAAAGTATAATTTATTTATCTATTCTCATGGAACTTTGTTTTAAATTGTCAATCCTTAGCTATAAAATCTAAAAATGTTATACATTTCAAACTACAATATAATTTCCAAATTTTAAATTTTGCCATAATTCAAACTTTATATATGCTTATAAAAAAATAGTAAATACCGTAAGAGCGGGATACTTTGCTCCAAATATATTTCTTTTTTAGTTTGAACCTATACAATAGCTTCAATAACAAAGATAAAAATTACCTGTTCGCGTTGTTTTTTATGTTTAGATGTTGAGAGGTAAGAACAAAAAAAAAAAATCCGAATGTCGTACTATAGTGACATAGGTACTTACTTATTCCCAAAAGTTTGGAGCAAAGTTACAATACATTGCATGTTACATTGCACAATGATCAAAATTACCTTACTTTAATGCATATTATAATAACTATTGGTGCAATGTTTAGTGCTTGTGTTATAACTTATTTGAACCTATACATAATATGATTGAATAGTATAATTTTTTTTTTTTAGTTGATTAAAAGCCTTTTTTCAATACATTTTAGATTAAATTTCAATCCCCTAGATTTTGGATAACTTTTCCGTTTTGTGTTTTTGTGTTTTTTTTCAGGACATACATCTTGGTGGCAAACTAATAGATTGATGTTCGAAATGTTTGAAAAAATTAGTAATGTTAATAAGAATAATATAAAAAAAACTACAATCTCTCAAAATCGTAATGTGCTACGATTGATATCAATAAAATTATATAATATACTTATAGTGCCTTAGGTATATGTATTTAAAAAAATTATTCAACTACTGTAGTAAAAGTATAGCAGGAGCCTTGTACTAAATTTTCACACTTTTTGACTCAACAAATTAAATTTCATTGATATTTAAAGAAAAAAAACAAAAAAAATTTAAAATTTAAAATGTTCAAAACGGGTCTAAATATTTTGTACATTTTATCAAGTATGGGAATTGATAAGATGTTATTTGGTGTAAATTTCAAGTACCTATCTACAGTTATTCGTGTTTAAATTACAACAAAATAAGAAAATCGCTATTTAAACAACATTTGAACTTTAAATGCTTCTAAGAAAAAAATTGTGACTGTATTTTTAATATTTTTCAATTGATATTGTAACAATATATAATATTAAATGTTCAAGCTTTAAAATGTTATTGACATTTATAGAAAAACACTTTAAAATTGGAAACTGAAAATGTCCGTAGGTAAACCATTCAGAAGAAGTCAACTTATTTTGAACATTTTATCGTGTATAGAAAATTCTAATATAAACATTCAGAGAAAATTGCATGTAACTGCAGTTATTTGTCTTAGAGTTACACCAAAAACCAAAATTAATTTTGTCAAAAACCTATTTTGCTTAAACATTCCCGTTTTTCCTTAATTTTTACTTTTTTTTCCCCCGGCCTTTTTAAAACTATTTTGCACGGAACCACTTTTCTCGCACCATATTTGTTGTAGATCTAAAAAAATATTCACCACACGTAAAGAAGAACTTTATCTGTGCAACGGGGAAATTTTTTTTAATAGCACTATCCAATCATTTTTATTAAGCGAAAGAAAAAAACCAAATGTTTAGAAGAAAATAACTTTTATTGTATTTGTGTTATCTAAAATATGGGCAAGCTGTTGCATAGATAATTTTCCATCCCATATGTTAAGAAATTTTTGAGCCACTACTACAAACAAAGAAAGATAAAAGTCGTCCCGCGCAAAACAGTTTTTGCAATGTTGTACATTAGTAAGACGAGGACGAAACATGAGGGTGTGACATCCTTTTAATACTGCTTGATAATTTTAAATAAGTTTTATATTTTTAATTAATTTTCAGAATATGTATAAGCTGCCGAGCTCTTGTCCCGGGCTGGTATTTATATGATCGAGTCCTTTGGAGTGGGTGGTTGTATCAATGGCCAAATTCGGTCATGAGACTGCGTCCGGGTCTCGTACTTGGTATGCTGGTTGACTTGTATCCTTCGTATGAGTGTTTGACTTTCCTAGAGAGATACTTTTACAGTGTCCCTAGAGTGTTATAATATACTAATTGCCTTATTAATTATATCGTCGAGTACTATTGGAAACATGCGCTACGTCGTACATTGTTATTACTTAATTACTAAATACGTAGGTACGTAACACTAACTACCCATAGGTATCTCTTTCCATGTTGATAAATTAATGTGTCCAATAGTCTATCTTGAATCATGATAGTGGCGCATGATCATGATTTATTATTATTTAAGATAATCACAAGATTCGGGGTGCCACATAGCATTAAAATTCAAGGTGCCAAGCACCCTTAGCACAATTGTCATTTGCGCCAAATTCCAATGATAATAGGTCAAGTCGCTCTTATATTAAACATAGGTACTTTATATAATTGTGAAGTATCGCCTGAAATTTGAACTTAAAATATCTACCACAAAAAAAACTGGGTTTATATATTTTTTAGATTTTTTAGGTACAATATAAATTACTTACAGGAAAGTAGAAAACTTATTTTTAATTTTCAATCCTTAGCTATACAAATTGAACAATTTATACGTTTTTAACAGCATAGTATTTTAAAAATTTGAAGTAAAATGCTTATAAAAAAATTGTGCTGCTCATACATTAATAACATTTTTAAACTGTTACCATAACAACGGATAAGGAACAAAGAATTAAGTATTTAACCTCTCTGACCAAACAGTAAAACTATTATTAACATTTATAGAAAATCAACTAAAAAAAAAAAATCAAAACATCTATAAATCTTCTAATACGAGTTGAAATATTTTGGATATTTTATCATGTATATAAAATGATGAAATAATCATTTGCTACAAATTTCAAGTACACTTTTAATGTGTACACACTACAAAGTTCCACAAAGAAACTAAAAAATATAATTTATATAGTAGATTATAGATATAATTTAAGTATAGCTTATTTTTTTTATTTGATAATAGTTAGTAAAAATTATAAAAAAACATTCTTATCAAATAGGTATTCAAAATAACAAAATTTTTTAAAACAATACACGTGTCATCATAATTTACACAAAAATTTGTTCATATTACTATTAACAATGAGTACTACTGTAAGCTGATTAATGATAATGATGTGGTCTATCGACAACTACTCCACCATAAACTTGTACTCCATTTCTTGACAATCTTTCCAAGGTCCAAGTATTGGTGTTAGGGTTGTAAATTTCAAAAGTATCAACAATATATTTATCTGATTCTCCGCCAAAAACATACAATAAACCATCTAATACGGCTACTCCTATAAGATAATGTAATTTAAATTCAATATATTTTTACAAAGGTCATCCTAAAAAATATAATTGTCATAGTCACTACTCACCAGTGAAACATCGGCATAAATTCATATCAGCTATAGAAGACCAAACTCCATCACTTGGTCTATAAACCTCAACACTTTTAAGATACTTTCCATTATAGCCACCAATTGCGTACATAAGACCATCCAAAACCCCTACACCAACACCTTGACGACACTCAGACATTTCTGCAACCGGAGTCCATATGTCAAGCCTGGGATCATAATATTCAACAGATTTTAAATGTTTACCATTATAACCTCCAACCTACACAATTTATGAAATTTAATGTAATACAAATTATAAATCAATAAATAATATAATTATTCACTGAGTATAGACGATTATTGAGTACACCAACGCCAAATTTATATCTCTTAATTGTCATACTAGACAAAAATCTCCATTTTTGGGTAATGACATCACATACCTCTACACTTTTTAAAAAACTGTCACCGTCACTTCCGCCAACCTAGAATTACAAATAATATACATTTTTAATATAAAATAAGTAAAATATTGATTTAACTTACTGCATATATACAATCATCCAATACACCAACTCCCAAACGCATTCTACTAACTAACATGTCAGCCATTGGAACCCATGAAGGTGATTGTGAAGATACGTCAAGCATACTAACAGATGTAGAACTCGATCCATCTACACCTCCCACAGCAAACACAAATTGATGATTTATCACACCAAAACCAGCACACTTCCGAGATTCATTTATTCCTGGAGCATTCTCTCTTAGCTTGGTTGCTGGGTCATACCATTCAGTATAACACTCTGGTGATGTATTAGACTTACTGAACATTAGAATAACCTAATAGAATTGAATAGACAAAATTATTGCGAAGATAAATTAATCAATTTGGAATCATACTTTTTGAAAACCATCAAACTGTCTAGGTTTAAACCTAATTGTTTTTGGAATGGTGAAATGCTGAACTGATTTTTGATGATTAAAATGGAATGCTTCCATTATATAATCTTTACCTAAAAAAATTATAATAATGATTCTTAATAATGATAACATATTTATGTAAGCAACATACATTTAGAAATATTGTCTAGAAGAGGTTCTTCAGATATATTAAATAATATATCAGGCTTTAGTAATGGCAAACGTACATGTTCCATTAGTTTTGACAAAAAATCTATTCTATGATCTGAATCATGTTTTACCCATTTGATAACACATTCAAATACCTACAATAAAAAATATTTAAAACTAGATTAAGATATAATAATAGTTTGTTCAACCATTCAATAGTGAATAATTATCACAGGATCCCAAAAATAAAATAGATCTTTAAGATCATGTGTTCCTACTGTTTATATTAAGCAAAGGAATATTAACTAATAATTCTTATATTTTTATGGTATTAAATAATATATATTATTTGTTATTTTTAAATACACATAAACCACAATATAGACAAGCAGTAGAAGGTTTATGGGCTGCGTTTGCAAAATTGTTTGGGACTACTGACTAATCAATGTGGTACGTGGAGGTGAAAGTTATAGAAGATTAATTACTGTCGGAGCCGACCACAAAACTTCTTTATCATCAAGGAGATACAATTGATTTGAACTAATTTTAAAAAACGTTTTAACTATTTTAGAGTTATTTAATATTTATAGACATTTAAAATAAGACATGTTTTTGATTATTTTCAATAACAGTCAATAAAATTATTTTCTATGGTAAGCTTTATTGTTTTTAGTTATTTAGTTTAAAACTATTATTTGTAGGAACTTAAAATTTTAAAGTTTATTGTTATATTGTATGCACACAATGATCTTCTCATATGCACCTTTTTTGGAATAAATAATTAAAACTGCTTCAGAAATACAGTCTTTCTAATGTCTAATAGTAAAATAAATTAGTTTATCAACCATACCATAAAATATACTTGGAGATATTATTAACACTTTAGAGCTCAGAATCCTTTTCGTTTACAATGATTTTATATCATTGAATTCAAATATAACACATCTGATACAGTGAGCCCTGTAAAGTCTAGACATCAACTGTACTGTATACTTGCCCACCTTTATATGTTGATTTTCCATACATAATATTAAAAATACAATTTGTAGTTTGCTTACTTTTTCTTCAAATGGAACAGCAAGGTCATTAGAGGAAATAAGCTTCACCAAATCTTCAGAAGATAAGGATAGAAAATCTTCGCCTTTAGCTACTTCTCTGGAAATAATAATCATTATTTTTATTATAAATTACATACTTACCCTTAATATAGAGAATTAAAAATGTTAATCATACAAAAAATTTCGTTTAATATATGCTTCAGAACTTGACAACAAATCAGTAGAGTTATGTAAGTCAGCAAAAGCTCTGATACCAATACAATTTGATTTATTCAGTTGTTTTTGTAAAAACTCAGCACATACACCATTTACATAATCTAACTGTAATACATCTGCAGCTGGTAATAACACCTTAGAAATAAAAAAAAAAATTCACATAAAATTATATTATGTTGTTTGAAGTCTATATAAAACTAAATATTTAATTATAGGTACCTGTACATTTTCTTTTGTGACCATAATTTCTCCAGTATAGATATAATCTACTAATAGCTGTAAAATGGTGGAATCTAATTCTCTTATATTAACAATATCTTTATTGCTCTCATCAAAATTATTAAACATTGCACGGAAATATGGACTAGCTGCTATTAAAACATTTTTATGTCCAATTACAATTTTACCATCATCTGTTTTAAATCTAACATCACATAAAACTTCTTTTCTAAAAACAAAAATGTGTTACTCATATTTATTATGAATGATTTTGAAATGTTAACATACTTGCGTTGGAATTGTAAGTCTTCTAGTATTCTTACAGAGTGTGAGTCATTCCTAAAATTAGTTGGTTCACAGTCATTTGATTTCAGAACTTGCTTTATATTATTTTCGTTATTTTTACAAGATGAAGCCTGAATGGTATCCATTTCTTCTACTGACGTGCCTAACAACTTTAAATATATTTTAAAAATTGTAATTAATTTTAATTATCATCATTGTGTTTAAACGTAATACTAAATGTAGGTGCTTTAGAGTGTAGACAGGGTAAAAAACAACATAATGCTGATGTTAAGAAATTATTAAATTATTGGTTAGATTTATTAAAATATTAATGAATTAAAATAAGTATATTGAATAGGTACGAGACCTTTTTTCTTACTTACTGCAGTTGAATTCATATCAATGAGTGAGTACTGAGTTCTAGACAAAGGTATGGTATTGTATATGGGCTAACATACAATATATCTAATCGATGTTGGTAGGGACAGCTGGAATAAGATAAAGTCAGAAGTTGTGAGGTAAGAATGTAAGATGGGAATTGTATGTAAGTCGTAATAAGTTGATTATATCTAAATTTATCCAACGCACATGTACCTACTGTATGTTGAGCATATTGTATTTTGTTGTTTTTATTTAATAATAATATATTATAATAACACGAAAGTTGGTTATACTCATTACGCATGAAGACTAGACAGTAGACACTAGAATACAATATCCTAGCATTGACTAAAGAATAATATTATAAATTTCGCCTTCACGTTGTCAACTTTTTATAATTCCTGCTCTACCTGTTGTCCTAGAAAGTCAAAGTTGGCCCAGACTACATACCAGTTTAAGTTCTACTTTCTGGGTACACAGGTATAGCAGGAATTTTAAAAAGCTGGTCAGAAATTCACAGGAATTGAGCAGTATACTTATCAATGCAATAAAAAAATTACAAAATTCAGATTGGGGAGAAAGTAATGGTTATACAATTTGGTTCACAACCGTATCAAACTTCATAAATCTATACAGGTGCTCAAACACAAACAATTTATTGTTTTTGGAGACATGTAAAAGTAAGTTTCTAAAGAGACATACAGGTAGTGATGTAAGTCGGTAATATTACTTTGGTAAAGTATTTTAAAGTAAGTAATTTATCGGTAAAGTAATAAATATAAATTACTTACCACTTTATGAGTATTTTATTTTTTTTTTAGTTTTTAGGTTTTAGGATCTTTGTAGGCAGTGCCACACTGCCACGGGCCAACGGAGTACTGATTACTGATTAGGTCGTACTGATAAAGAAAAATATAAATAAAAAAGTAATAAAAAAGTAATATTATCGGTAATTTACTCAAGTAAGTTACCTAAAAATAAATTACTGATAATTTTGTATAAATTTCCCAATATTACCATAAAAAAATTAATATTACCGGTAATTTACTCAAGTAAGTTACCTAAAAATAAATTACAGATAATTTTGTATAAATTTCCCAATATTACCATAAAAAAGTAATAGTACCGGTAATTTACTCAAGTAAGTTACCTAAAAATAAATTACCGGTAATTTTACATGGGAAAATAAATTTCCCAATATTACCATTAAAAAGTAATATTACCGGTAATTTACTGAAGTAAGTTACCCAAAAATAAATTACCGGTAATTTTACAACACTACATACAGGACACATTTGTATAATTGTATTTGTATAGAGTACATTTTTATACGGCGACAGCTGCATTGGTACGACTCAAGCAGTCATTTTTTGTAGATTACATACGCCGGTATATAGCATACGACACAAGTACCTACCCGCAAACTTAATATAATTTGCAAATGTTTATGATTTAGACAAATTTCGTCAAAATTCTTACCTATAGTCGCGTTCCGGTCGGTACGTGGTATGTAGCTGATGCGTAGGGCGTAGGAGCAGGGGTCGATCGAAGATTTGGCGGACGGCGGTGCGAAACGCGAGTATACATACGGCAATCGATAACTGACAAGTGACAGAGTTGAACTGCGAATTGAGTAACTGACAAGACGTGAGTACGTGACACGGTTTAAGATAGTCTATCTTAAACCGTGATTTTAATTAATACACTGTAATTTATTTATAAACATAAGTGGGGATTTCTGGCGTTCTTCGAAAATTATTATTTTCCGATGACCATCGTTCGGTACTTGCGCATTGGGAATTTGTGAGTGATTGTGAGTGCGTGCGCGCGAGTTGCGTGTTGGGAACATAAACCCATGACGAAATAATCATGCTATACAGATAGGTAGTAGGTACAACTGTATACACGTTTTCTCACCCGTTTAGGTTGATTAATAATTTTGTACCTAATTGTACGGATATATTGTTATATTTTTTTTAGTAATAATAATATTATTATTGTGTTATCATTTGTTATTACTGTACACTGCGAGTTGTGACACCATCCGACACACGTAAATTTCCTTTAGTCGTGACTCGTGTTCGCTGATCGCTCTTCAGTTGTCGTCACTCGCCGAATCGGCATTCACTCAGCGCCGAGAATCGCTGCTCCTACACAGGCACAACTGCCGTAGTGCCGTCATATTGTGCACCACAGTACCACACGGACACGCGACAAAGTAAGAATTGGACAAAATACTTCAAAATCACGAAAATTTGCAAATAACTTTCTAGTTAGAAATTTATGTTCACGTGTCGTATGTACCGGCGTATGCTATCTACAAAAAACCACTGATTATATCGTATATTTTCTAAGTAAAGGATTTTATTCTATATTATTATACAAATGTGTCTCTTATGTCTTAAAATACTTTCGAAAGACATTAGACCATCCGGCTGATCAGTGAACGCCGTCATTCTTCCTCCAATAAATTGCCTTTCGAGTAGGTTTTTTACTCCACAAGACCTTGTATTACAGTTTACTCTTACATGTCTTCATAAACACTCAATTGTTCAGTGGCGGTTTTGATAAAACATCAAGGGGGGGCTATTTTAAATTTTTGTGTCCCCCCCACCATAATAGTTGCATATATAAAATAAAGAATACAATTTGTTTATGGTCCTATAATACATTATATATAACTTTTATTTTTGATTTGATAATTTAAATAGTTTAGTTTTATTGGAATCTTTATAAAGTAATAGCCTCTCAGTTATACTTACCTTTAACCGTACATAATATTATGTTATATACAATATAGTAAAAAGTCCGTAGATTTGACTATAATCTAAAAAAAACATGATTAAAAAATGCATAACTGAAGTAATAAATTTAAAGCAATTTAAGCATATTTTAGTTAAATTTGAATTAAAAAAAGTACATGCAAA